AGGACTGCTCTCAATTCTTTCATCCCCCAGCCTGCACTGATATAGGGGGGTTACCCTGACACAGGTGCAGGATCTTGCTCGTGGCCCTATTAAACTCCATGAGGTTCCCATGGGCCCACTTCTTGAGCTTGTCCACGTCCCTCTGGATGGCATCCCAATCCTTCAGGTGTGTCAACCGCACCGCTCAGCTTGGTGTCATCTGCAGACTTGTTGAGGGTGCATTTGATCCCATTGTCTATACAGTACTGGACCCCTGAGGGACACCACTTGTCACCAATGTCCATTGGGACACTGAGCTGTTGATCACTACACTCTGGATGCAATCATCCAACCAATTCCTCATCCGCTGAACAGTCCACTTATCAAATCCCTGTCTCTCCAATTTAGAGAGAAGAATGTTGTTGGGGATCACGTCAAAAGTCTTACAGAAATCCAGATGAGTGACATCCGCAGCAATTTTTTTGCTGCCAATTTTATCTATTTTTATTGCTAATAATTTGCCTCAAATTTTTAAAAATAATATACTGAAAGCAAAACTCTTTGGAATTACCATTTAAGGGATATGAAACATTCTTCTTAAAGTAAACACTATTGTTGAGGCTTCCACATATTTTTCAAGACAACTGATTTTTTTTCTCCCCATCTGTTAAGGAACTAGGGTACAATGGCCTTGTTTTGATGTTCATTTTTGAAAGTTATTTTTTAAATAAATTACTTCAATCACAGAAAAATCTTTCAAAAAAGGGAAGAGTATTCTCCCTCCCACCACATTCTACTTTATAACCCATGTCTACTGTCTCCTCACTATCTCTTGTTCATTTTCATCACAAAGTTTTTGATCCACTTTTTCAGGCTACGCAGCACATACTGACTCATCCCTTTGATGTTACTGTATACAGCACTGTTCATTGCTTATTTATTTATTTTATATTTTTTTAAGGGACCCTGATAAATTGCAAGACTAAACTAAAGCACAAAAGGCCAAATAATCTGATTTCAACAGATAGTGGACAAACATTACCTTTGTTTTTCCACCTGCCCTCAAGTCACATATATGCTTTCTTCACTGCAGGAAAATTTTTCCTAAACAAAGGAAATATTCTTATGGCTGATAGCCCTGCTCTTAAATTCCTTCTTACAACCTCTCTCTGCCAGTCTAGTACAAAGCAGTTCCAGCTGACAATGACTAAGCAGCCAGCAAGCTGTGAACTTCAGTGTTTGCTTCATTTTTCTCGCATCTTTCCAAGCCAGTGGTTCTCAAGTATATTACATTAAATCCTCTTCCCCTGTATGTGTCCTCCCACCACCTCACACTATTCCCACCAGACACAAACTACCAATCTCCAAGCAGTCCAGTACCCAAGCATAAGAGCTCTTACCACTGTCCTCTCTCTCCAAAGCCCTTGTACCTCCTACTTAGACAAACCTGTGTTTAGCTTCCTTTCCAATCCAACAACTCAGGCTGTGCTTTCCAAGTAGCCAAACCTCTCAACTTCTGGCATTGTAGAAGTCACAGCCTTTCGGAGTTTCTGTGTGCCCAGAGGTTATAACAAGAGCAACATCTTCTGCTCCCCATGCTGCCTTATATCCCTTCTTTTCCCCTTCTGTTCTCATGCTTCAGCTCCCCCAGGAAGAGGAAAGTGGGGCTCTGCCCAGAGCACTGAGCCCAAGACTCAAAAGCAGTTCTATGGTGTTCATAACAAGAGGATTCTGACTTTTTATTAGGCTTCCTGGCTGCTAACATAATACAGAATAAAGAAAAAGGTCAACATTAAGGACAATGGCAACAAGACCAATAGGCCATGTCATGCTGGTTTAGGTTAATAGCCAAGAGTGATTAAATAGCTTCATTTACTTCTTGTTGCACACCAACAGCTTTGCGCTAAATTCCTTCTTCACTGCACCAAACCACATATTCAAAAGAATAAAGAGTCAAGGCTGCCAAAAAAAAACCCCAATCTCATGTCTCAAGAAAAGGGACAATCTAATAAAAAAAACCCCCAATCTCATGTCTCAAGAAAAGGGAAAAGCAAAACTATTACTGGGCACATAAATAGGAAGAGACATGCCACAGAAAAACAACTGTGCTTTGTTGTTGCTGTTGCTTGTTTGGGGGGTTTTGGAGGGATTTTTTTAAGGTGTACAGTGATGTTTGTTAATATATAATAGTTTGGTTATGGTGTATCCAGCTGTTTAGCTACTATGCGGCATTTTCAGGTATACCAAGAACAAGAGTTAAGCAAAGTGATTAATGAGAGAAGTTTTCTTGTTTGACTGGTTCAGCATTGAAGCAAATCTGAGTGCTGTCTGTATTCTAGAAGACAAGTTTGCTAAAACAGCTACTAAAAATTGTGCCTCACTATTCTCATACTGGGAAATTATGTGTGTTTTTAAAAGAAATACTTAGTATTAGATCACTTTTAAATGTCTGATACCAGAGTCAAGGCTTGAAAATTCTACTTGCAGTTTGGCAAGACAAGTAGGGAAATCTGGACGCCCGAATGAAACCATAATGGATCAGCAAGCATCTCCAGGATGTAAAGGCATCTTCATTGACAGCCTCTCCAATGTTATTTCACCTCATCTTTATAGTCATTAAATTGGAGTTTCACTGTCAAATCACCGTGTCCTTAAAACATACAAGAAGCATCTCTGTCAGATGTGCTATCTGCTAGCTCCTAGGCTACCTATAATATCTTACATTTTCTTTCATTTTTCAATTTCTCTCATTCCCTCTTTGCCAGTCAATACAATTTCTGAAATAACTAATATTCACCCAAATAGTCCTGCAACCACTTATCTTTCTTTTTCTGACATCTTCTTTCACAAGCACCTGTCTTCATCAAGTCATTTTCTCTCTCACCTCAACTTTGTACGTTTTTCTCAGATGCCACAAGAAGAATGTTCCTGCTTTAATTTTTGCAAGTAGCTTTCCATTTTGTGGTATTTCTCTTTTCTCTCCCTCACTTTAATGTTAGGAGCAGATGAGCTACAGCCGTGGGCACCCTTTGCAATCAGCACAGAGGTCCAAACCTGTCCAGAGAGCTGCTTGTATTCCACATCCAGTAAATAATCCTGAGGATTCTCATTTCACTCAAGACTCTTTCTGCATAATAGCTACATGGGGAGCACAGGAAAGCAGGAGCCTCAGCTAATGGTCTTAAACAGGTACATTCGGTCCATTATCTCCCCTTAACACACCTAGAGTCTGAAGGTGATTCTCACTTTACCTCCAGCACAGAATTTGTGATAAAATTCTTGCAGTGCAGCATAATGTAAGAAAATTCATTAATCATCTCAGCCACACTTTGGATCTCACAGCAATCAATGATGTAACTAGCTGTTGGATGAACTCAATGAGTATCTGGCTTACAGCAACTTAGTCCTGTTATTATATACCCAACTGACATCCAAGCTAACAGCCCATTCAAGGAAATGGGCTTACAAATTTAAAACCAAACAGAATTACCTTATCTGTCCACCCTGTATGTCCTTTAAATCATATACCTCCACATCAGCTAATATTATTTTACTATGATATTCCAGTGCATTTTCCCAGTGATAGCAGTTAGACTTTACTTCAACTCTGAGAACACACTTGTCTAACACACTATGAATTGATCCATAACTTGCAGTCTGGGAAAAGTCAGAATAGAAAAAACAGGTTGTTTAAGGAGCTCTCTAGAAACGTAACTGCACTTATTACTGCTCCTTCTAATCCACGAATGGGCTCAGAAACTGCACCATCTCAGGGCAGCACAACCCCCAGTGATGACAAAGCCCT